GAGAAGACAACAAAAGTGTAAAAAAAGCTGTGATGGCCTCAATTAGCAGTGTAACCCTCAAGAATGAATAGTTGTTGTGCCAGTAGAAGAAAGTAGAAAAATTCATATCACACTGGCTGGGAAATTGTAAAACAATGTTCTGTTTTACAAAAAAAACAAAAAGAGAATACCTTCCATTTAAAGGTAAATGTGTCCAGTGGACAGCATCAACTGTGTACTGCTGGTTCTTCCACAACAAGTAATATTAATAGTGAATGCAAGCTTAGACATTTTCATTCTCATGTGCTGACACATAAGATGTATCCGTTGGGGACTTGCTCTGAATACGATTGAGCTGGACTATTAAATGAGTTCTAATAAAATTGTTCTGAAAAACCTAGTTAGAGAAACCCTTGTACAGGTGAGAAGGAGAATCCAGAATCTTGGTTTGGATGCAGTTTATTCCCATCTTTGAATGTGCTGAACAGGGCATCCCAAACGTTGTGTTAGATGCCACTTTGGAAAAGGTTTACCTTTTTTGCTGCATAAGTATAATTGATCCTTGGCCCTTGTGCAAAATTTTGCTGGTCTCACTGCTTTTCAACATGAAAGTGAACAGGAGAGATGTGAAGTTTCACTGTTACTCGAGAGAGGTGGACGGGGAATTACTGAGGGAAAATATTTTAAGACAGTGCAAGTTTACCGTTCCTAATACACACATTTTATTGCTTGTGTAGATTTTAGTGTAAAAACCTGTGGTCTTTGTACGCAGTACCGCAGGGCAAACCTAAAACAGCAAGCAGCATTTTCCAAGTGATGTTGTGAGCCAGCATTTGACACAGTTTTTCCAAGTGATTTATGCAGCTCCTAGATGAGAAAATGGTTCACCAAGAAAATAAAAATGGCAGAAGAATTATGTCATTGGCTCTATCATTGACTAAAATTAATTGATGATGCAGTGCCTTCATTATGATGAAAGGGCTGCGTAAGGATACAGTTCATCAGAAAAAAATCAAACAGTGACCAATTTGTAGCTTTGCTTTATTTTTGTGTATTTACGCCATAGAAACTGATGGACTCTAAAAATCATGATAGTATCATTTGTATACGTGGTTTGGGAATACAGCCCGTGTTAGTTGATTAACATGTAATAAGAAATTTTATATTTGGCTTCATATAGACTAATAAAGGCACCAGGAAATTTGTTTTCTAGGGAATTCTTTGACATTTCTGTCTCTCTTATTATTATTTCTCATTAATTGTAACTTTAATCCTTGTTTGCTTCTTTTCTGAGCACAGAACCACAGCTGGTCTTCAAAGGTATGTGTCAGTTTGTCCAGCAGAAATACAAGTAATTTTCATGCACTTAGAAGATTTTAAGTAGCTCTTAGTCAATGTGCAAAACTGATCCTTCAGAAAAGAGGCACTAAGTTGAATAGTAGTACCCTGTATCTTGTGAATAGTAGTAACCCCTTGTTTGGGGGAAAAATAATATAAAGGTACAGTGACTGAACTGGACAAAAGGAGGGAAATTGTTTATCACAATTGGCAGCAGCACTGGTTTGTGTTTCTCTAAACCATAGTTGGGAAGTAGTTTGACCTTTAAGTAAACCTGGACTGCACTTTGATGCCAGCTTTGAGGCAGTACAGAAGGGTTGTTGTGTACTAAGCCATTGAAAATCATGCAATTCAAATAAAATGGCTACCTTGGTTATCTTGAGTAGGGCACCGAAATGACAATCAAAAGATTATGTGGAAGGACATGGATGCATTGTTGGGTGCTTTTACTGTTGCTGAACAATGCTACCTATTTTCTTAAAGCAAAAGAGCACTTTAGACTATTACCCATAGGAAATCCTAATACATCTGATTATTCATGGCATAGAAGGTTGGTTCTTTTTTACTGTTTGTTGTGGTTATTGGCATAGTTTTAAAAAAAAAAGTATCAGTTGTTTGCTGTCAGCTAGAAAGATATGTTTGTTTTAGTAATATTCTATCTTTCATAACCTGTGGTCTTGCTACTGCCCCAAATGTACATGCTTTCATTGAATTGCTGTAGAACTTCTGTCACTTTGTGGGGGAGCAATTGCTTTGGGTGCTGACAATGAACACGTAACTGGCTTTTGTGGCGAAAATGCGGTTCCTAAATTATGGATGTTACTTTAAAAGAGCTATTGTGTTTTATACTGACAAATGTTAATAACTCATGAACTAACAGTTGCAGGGACATTTAGAAGTTTCTTCGTGTTTGTGAAGGTATTTATTCCCTCGCATTGATTCTTCCTAGTTTTTTGCTTGACTTTTGTGTTTACAGTCACCAAATTAGGTGGTCTCATTTTTTTGGAAATGTTTTTCATTTAATAATTCTAGCTCAAGAATATATAGTGTTTCTAGTGTCCTCATAAAAATAGTTGTGACTAAAATTTTGTAATAAATGTTTTCCTGATACGTTCCAGTCTGGCACTGCACATTCCCAAGTGTGATCCTCTTGAGCTGAAATTTTTTGTAGTTAGTTGCAATGTACTTTTCGATGTTGCAACATAAAAATAAGTAGAATTATTTTGTTTTACTTGAGTTTTAAGAGTACACAGGGGGTTTTTTTCTCTGTTTAAAATCTTTCAGGTGCCTTTCTGCAAAGATAGGCCAACACCAGTAGAATCTTAGAAGAGAAATTTCTACTTAGCTCTTGCTTTTTTCACAAGCCAAGGAAGTAGCCAGAGAAATACTATTTTTGTCGTAACTGAATGATTCCATGAATTTTTAACATCACGGAGAGCAGTTTTCAAATGGTATTTTGTGGAACAGGACACCTTGTATAGTTCCTAAATGCAATTTTCACTTACAAAGTTTTCAACTTTGGCATACAAAGTATGTATCTGCCGCTAGCCTTTTCCTTCTTTTCTGTCGTCTTCTCCTTGTTCCCAGAGGAAACAAGGGAAGGAATGGGTTCTTATCCAAAGGATTTGTCTGTGCCACACCTGTTCAGTCTATTGAAAGATGGGCAGCCCAGAAATCAGATCAGAAGTGTAATATCCCATGAAATGAAAATTACCCTGTGGAGGGGCACACATATTTTGCTCAAACTCTGATATAAAACTTTAATATTTGCATTTCCCAGTTTTTGTGTGTGTGTGCTTAAACTCATAATGCTAACTTGGTATTCTGGTAAGATAATTTTTCATTTTCTAACCACTTTATTCTTCCTTTTTTCCCCTCCAGTATGAAAATCTAATTTTTGTGTGTGAAAGTGGTGTGTAAAGTATGATTAAGTTAAATGGATTTATCCCTTTTAATAATGTAAAACTTAGTTTCAGGCAAACTAAGTCATCAGCATAGTTTTAAAAAAAATGCTGTGAACCTTGGTATCTTTTTTCTAAAGCTGCTATGTACTGTAACATAACCTACACCAAGTAATTATCATACATTATAGCGGTTGCCATTAGTGATTGCTATAATTAAGGTTGCAAATCAGTTTCCATTATAATCCCTTGTTTTCACACAATCATAACTTGTCAAAACACTAACCTTTGGGACTAAAGTTTTCCATGGTTGCTCTGCTTAGAGGTAGATTTGGGGGGAGGGAGGAGGAAAAGGAGTTTGGACTACCCTTATAGCAAATCCTTGTCCGGTCATTTTGCATTATAGGATCAAACTGCATAGCAAGGAGCTAAATAGTTATCATTTCCAGGGACTACAAAAGCCTAGAAGAAAGGTTAAAGTAGGAGGAGTACAGAACTGCCTTGAATTTTGGTTGCACTTCTAATTTTTACTAGCACCACTGCTATTTTGTTTTGCAGCATCTGTGTGTAACGCTGCAAACAGTACCATGGTCAGTTGTGGATTTGCGATTCCAGTTGTGAATCCCAGTCCTGAATCTGATGCTGGTTTTAGAGAGGGGAAGCTTCCGTAAAAGTCAAGAGAGGAAGTGGTACAAGCAAACACTTAACTGTGATTATTTTCCCTAAAGTCAGTTTTCCCTAAATGTCAATAACTGCTGCACTGCTCTTTCCTGGCTAGAAAATAGCACGTTCCTTTATCATTGCAGATAATCCTGTATGTAAATCTTTTATGGTGACCACTATGCAAACCTTGCATAAGTTCCCATTTATAGTATTTTTGGTATGACTTGACAATTTATTTTATAATATGAAGAGATAACGTTTTAAGGCATAATATAAGGGAGTGCTTGGGCAGGCAGAGTAGAAGGATGAGCTTTCAACCCTAGCATTTATTTCCTGTGCTTGTTTTATCATCCCTAACATTACATTAGCACCATTTCTTTGCAAAGAGTTCATTTTAAAAAACGGTGATTGGTTCTTCCCCTCAGCCCTCTGGGAGAGTGCTTTAATTAGTTTCTTGAGATATATGATAGTAAACTGAAGTATAGTTACTGAAAAATTTTTCAATTTTTGTTACATTGAGAACTTGCTCCTCCACTAGTCTGTAAACAGTTGCTACTGTAAACATCTTTCTTCATAAGATGTTGTGAAATACTACAAAGGTGCCATTTACAAATAAAATAAATAATAACATAGAAAAAAGTATAAGCCTTCCAAAAGATCAGGTTTTGGGAGACCTCATTGTCTGCAGAGAGTCCTGTGAGTCAGTGGGATGTCTTGCAGATGGGAAGGTTTCCACATCTGGATTCTTTTTACCAGTAGAGGTCTTTGATCTGAAAATGTTACAACTCTCCTATGCCCTGTGATTTGTCTGGCAAGATGAGTTATTTACAAATGCAGTTGCTCTTCTGACAACTCAGTTTTGAGTGTGCAAGTGCTGAGGTCCTGATCTGTAACCCATAAGGACTGCTGGTAGTCCTTTTATTGGTTTCAGTGGGCTTTGATTCAGATATTTGGACTTCGAAGCCCCCCAGGTGGATTAGGTAAAAAAAGGCTTTTTACAAATGATTATAATTTAAAGATTTAGGATGCTATGTGTCTGAAATAATTTGGCAGTGTTTCAAAGCCTTGTGAAATTTAAATAAGTTTCTGATCTTTGTGTCTTTTCTTTTATTCCTCCAGTGGCAGATGAAAGCAAAGTTGGTTTGTTGGCCGGACACAAATCGGGTAAGCTGTTCTCCTATTTTGGAGGAAAAGTCAGCAACTTGAAAGTAGTATGGGGAATAAATGAAATCAGCTTACAGAAACTGTGGGGACTAAAAGAGTTGCAAATCAAGACATTGCTTTGTAGGTAATGACTCCAAGTTGTACAATGATGAATTAGGGATTGTTCTTTGCCAAGCAGTGTATGTAGCAGAGTCATTTGCAGGAAGACCCATAACTTTATTTTTCAGTGCAGGCGTTGTAAACTGAAGATGATGCCCTTTCAAATAAGAGCAAGTGCAAAGTGTTTTGTGGAGCGTGGAGACTTAAACAATATACATTTTGAAAAATATAAATACTTCTGCTTTTTCTCCTTGCTCTGAGTTCCATTACCATTTCCATTGAAGATAACACTAAAAAAAAATGTATACAGATTAAAAAAAAGACTGACAAAGCTTTTCCTTTCATTGTGCTTGTGCAGTAGAAATAATTTGGTTTTTATTAAACTTTTCAGGCCGTAGCAATAAAACAAATTAGTCCATACTGCTGTCGTTACTGTACCCACTTACTAAATAAGTTTCACAAACCACACCATGGTACTGTACAGCTTGCAGTTCTTGTATTAAAAGAACTTTCAGGGAAATGTCACCAAATTGTATTTTTTCACAAGCCACAGATAAGCTGACATAAGAAATCTTGAACTTTCTAGAAAACTCAAGTTATTCAGCAATCTTTTCTGATGTTAGAAAACCCTGAAGTTTCAGGCTGCCCCTTTGTAGCTTGATTGCACATTTCCTTTTTCCACTGCTTTGATAGAACTAAAAAGCTGGATTCATGTAAAGGAAAGTCAACTATGAGATTCCTGCTTGTTTATGGTATTCCTTTTCTGTGCAACTGGCTGTCCTTCTTTAGTTCTCTGGTGTGGATTTTCCTTATCTGAAGACCTTTTCCTGAACTTAGTAGACAAATTCTTTTTAAATTTTTCTGGCATCTTTCCTAAGTCTGTGAACTTCTCGGATTCTCTTTCTGAATCAGGGGGTAGTTCATATGTCTTGTAACATTATCACTCCTGGGGAGAAAAAATTCTTTCAACTTTTTGTTTTGGGAATGTGAAAGCTTCAAAGAAATAATCTTGTCAACTTGAAGAAGCTGGGATGTTGCCCTTGGGTTTTTTTGTGTGCAGAAAAATTACTACAAACATTGCAACATCATGCAGTTTTCCAAAGATCAGTGCAATTCATTGCTATCAAAGAATATTGGAGGAAAACCTGGTGAGATCATAACTCTTTGGCAATCGGTTGTTACAGGTACGTTAAGCTTTATAATATCACTTTCAGTAGCATTTGATCTTTCTTCTGCACCCTTCTCCACATCCTTGGAAATCGTGGCTTTGAAAAGTTTTCTATTTGAAGACACCTAGAAATTTTATATGAAAATGTGGACCCATTCTTATTGAACTTTGGCTTGTTTGCTTTACCTATCCTTCATAGACCTCTTACATGTACCTTTTTTCATAGACTAAAATCAGTGGTCAATAGATCACCTAAGGAATAGATACAAAGATCCTACAGGTTGTTTCTTTTTTCCTCCCCTTCAGAATAAAAGGAGCTAGCTAACTTCTGAGAAGGTTGGAGTGTAAATGATTTTTCTCGGTTCTGTCCACTTTTAAATACTGTTCAATTATTGTTGAAAAATGCTTCTTCCTTCTCTATGTTCCATTTCCTAACCCTTCATAAAGAGAACTCAGGCTGCAGTTTCAGCTTTCTCATTGTTCCATTCAAATATTTATTTTAAAGGGTTGTTCAAGAACACGGTGTTCTCTTTTTATGGTCCCTTTTTACTGTATGCTTTTTGGATTATATACGCATCTTGCTGGCATTCAGTCACATCATAGAAGTCTTGTTTTAACACCGTTCATTGTGCTGCCTTCCTATAAGTACCTTTTTTAAGAATGTGCTAAGGGGGACATTGCAGCTTCTTGTGCTGAGAGCAAAACAGCGTTATTTTCTCATTACAGAACGAAGAGTTTCCATCCTATTCTAGACTTCAGGAAATTAAGCATATTCCTCTACAGAATTAATTATCACCTACTAACAATCAATGCAATTATCCCTTCTCTCCTTCAACATGACTTGTTCTATGACATACGCAGTTGAGTAATTCTCTCTAGGGAAATATCCTTTCTATTCCTTCTGGGGCAGTGGCTCTTCAAGCATTTAGTCTCAGCTTTTGGTATAGCTACTGTATCTCTCACATATTACATGTTACTCAGCAGCAGCAGGAGTTAGGAGTTTGTATTAATTTCAAAAAACGTTATCACAATTCTGCAGAAGACCAAGGCATTAGAAGGATTTGTAGCTGTAGCCCCATCTTTCTGTCTTTCTATATATTGCACCCACAAACAACAGTTCCTTTTTTTCTTTTCTTCTCCTGAAAAAGTACATTTGATTTTTAAAAGCATTTCTGGACACATCCTGAGCTTGTAAGCATGTTCTAGGGAAGATGGCTGGAGCCTTCTGTGTTTCACCTGTGTTCCACCCTCACAGAAATGCATCTGTAAATTCTGGTTGTCATAGCTGGCCTGTCCTTCATCCTGCCAGATGGAAGACTCCTGCAGTGCTTACAGGTTTTATTAGTGTTGCAAATGTTTTCCACAGTACCATTGACAAAAGCACTGGAGTGCTGTATTGATGCAGCCTAGTTGGCCCTTTCGGGAAAAGACCAGAGTTCAGAGTGTGTGTGTAAGGCATCTTCTCTGAATCCTCTAAGGAGGATTTTGTCCTCTGTAAGCTTCCTTGTGTGCTCGGCAATGGTGTGTCGCATTCCCTAAACTCAACTCCAACAATGAGAATGAGAAGCAGACAAGTAGTGCCTCTCTTGTAAAGCAAAGATCCCTGAAAATTCATGAAGATTAAAGATCAGCAAACTTTAGCTCAGTTTTTCATGAAAAAGCTTTTTAGAAAAGTGATTCCAGGACAGCTAGGAAGATACCCTTCATAAGTAAGGGCAAGACTGTTGTGTATCAAATATAACCTGATTTATGTAAAACACTGAAATCAAGTACTAAATTCATTACAGCTATTTTTATGTTTTTATGAAATTCTTTTTTTGTGTTCTGATTTACTGCTTAGAACACTTTTTAGTATGTATTGACTGTCTGCTGAGGTCTCTGCTGACACAGCTCTTCCAGATGATGCAGTGCTGGAGAAAAGCTGATGAGTCTTTATGAACACTGACATATTAATTAGCAAAATGGGCAAAAAAGCTTTCCTATTTTTATTTTAATGTCACTAGAGCGTGCTTTTGGCTGGGCTTATGCTTCGAGACAGTTTTGAGACGAGATGAGTTGAAGATCTTATTTTCTTGCTGGCTGCTATGTGAGGAACATGAGACTGGGCTACGGATTAGTATCAGCAAGATTGAATGATACAGGGGTAGATCTGTTACCAGGCTGAATTTGAATTAATGGTATATTGCAAGAGATAGGGTTAGGACCTGAGCAGGAAAAGGCCCACTGGGATAGTTTGAAGGATGCTTTCTGGTCAAGTTCTGCCCCTTAGTGTTAATTTTGCTGACCGTGCAGTAACCAGGTTACTGTTCAGCCTTTGGGTAGGATTAGAGTTCTGGGAAAGAAGGCTTGAAGAGGTAGGTGTACAGCTAAATGTGCGCCGACACGTCTGGTAGACCTCCAGTCTGTGCTGCTTCGTGTATTGGTAACTGAGTTGTGGTTAAACTGGGGTTCAGATTGGGGCTGGAGGGAGTTTGGAATAATGTAGGTTAAAGGTCTTGGTGTATCTCTGCATCCTTCAATGCCAGGATGTGTTCTGCATGAAATAAATTTTACTGAGGTTTCATTAAGGCTAGGATGAGGATTAAGGTTATGATTTAGGACATGGGAGTGGTTGAAAAGTTAGGCTTAGTGTTAGATTTTACATGACCCACTGGAATAGGGTATGGAAAGTACAACAGATTAAGCTTCATCATTACGTCCAGGAAAGGCTCTCCAGCCTATTGCTAAAGCCATGGTTGCTTTAGTAAGTGAAATAATTTGTATGAGATGCTAAGGTTGCTTCTATATAAGTGTAAGCTGAATGTCCCCTTTGGCTTTAAAGTTGAGTGGGACAGGATGATCCTCATCTGTGCTCTGAGCATCTATTGTAAGATGGCTTTCACGTTGCCTCTGGAAGCTGTGCCTGGTATATCCTAACTCCTGAACCATTTCTAGGAAGTGCTTGCGAGAGCAGAAGAGCTGTTGTAACACTTCTATAGTGTAGACGATTACATTCTAGTAAGCTTAGGTGTGCCCAGCCACTGGTAAATTAGCAAATATAAACATAACCTGTGACTTTAAGAACCCCAGCTTAGGTTTTTTGCAGGGATAAAGTAGGATCTGGCACAGGCAGAATCCAGTGTGTTAAAGTTTGTTCTGGTAAAAGTGTGAATAATGGCTGGGCTAAGCTTATTGCTGCAATTTGAGTTCAGACTTGGAAGGGCAGACAAAAATGGAGAATTTTTTTTTAAACTGGAGGAATTGTGCAAAAGTTGAGCTGTTGGAACACCAGCAAAATCCAGTGGTTTATGCATGCTTATGTAGCACAAAAGGCTTTTTTAATCAGGGATTTTGTTGGGGGTTAATAGCGGGGTTAGGAAGGACTACAGAAAGCTTAGTGGATGCTGCCAGGCTTGTTTGAGACTGGTGCCACTGTAGCAAGTTTGGTTTCTGTTTTGCTTTTGATTGCAGGTAACACAATTACATTGAAGCGGTGCATAGGGAAGTGGTATTTCTCCTCTCCTCACGCCAGATCTCGTAATTTTATTAAACAAGCCTTCTCGCTGCTATGGGTGTCATTAAAGCTAAGCTTTTCAAAGGGGGCATTGGGTTTAGTACTAAGTTCATAAGGATTTATGTACTAACTAGATCCACAGTAGAAAAGACTCATGTAAATGGCTGAGCTGCCTGCCATATGCAAGTGAAGTGCCTGTCCAAACAAGGACCTTGCCACTATCTAGCTGAAAGCATGTGG